TAGTATTGTTTATTTAGGATTTTTGCATCCATATTCATTAGTGAAATCAGTCTATAATTTTATTTCTCTGTTTTTGCTCTTTCTAGTTTAGATATCAGTACCATATTTGTTTCATAAAAGGAGTTTGGCAGGATTCTTCCTTGCCTATTATTCCAGATAATTATTTAACATTGGAATTAGTTGATCTTTAAATGTTTGGTAGAATTCACTCATAAATCCATCTGGTCCTGATGCTTTTTTTCTTAGGAAGCTCATTTATGGCCTGTTTTATTTTCTTTTTCTAAAATATGTTTCTTTAGATATCCCATTTCCTCTTCTGTTAATCTGGGCAGTTTGTGTTTTTGTAAGTATTCTTCCATTTCACTTAAATTGTTAAATTTATTGGCATATAATTGGACAAATAACTGTTTTGATTTCATCTTCATTAGTGATATATTCACCCTTTTCATTTTTGATACTAGTGATATGGTTTTCTTCTCTTTTTTTAAATAATATTAACCAGTGGTTTATCTTTTTTTTTTCATAATACCAAGTCCTAATTTATTAATTGAACAAGTTTATTTTCTTACATTCAGTTTTATTAGCCTTACTTTTAATTTTTAGGATTTCCAATTTGGTGTTTAATTTTTAACTTATTCTTTTTCTATTTTTTAAAAGTTGCATACCCAATTTATTGGTCTGCTCTTTATCTATTTTATTGATGTAAGCATTTAGATATATAAATTTTCCTCTGATTACTGCTTTTGCTGTATCCCATAGGTTTTTGGTATGTTGTCTCATTATTATCATTCTCTTTAATAAAATTATTTGTTGTTTCTATGACTTGTTCATTATTTAGTCTCCAAATAATTTTTAATCTGTGTTTCTATGACCCCTTATTAAATATAATTTTATTGCATTATGATCTGAAAAGGATACATTTAGTATTTCTGCTTTTCAGCATTTAACTGTAAAGTTTTTATGCCCCAGTATATGGTCAATTTTTGTAAAGGTACCATGTACCATGAGGAAAAGATATATTCCTTTGTATTCCCATTCAATTCTCTCTAGATAGCTGTCATTTCTAGCTTATCTAAGATTCTATTTGTCTTCTTGACTTCTTTCTTATTTATTTTTTGGTTAGATTTATCTAGTTCTGAGAGGGGAAGTTTGAAGTCCCCTGTTATTACAGTTTTGCTATCTATTCACACCTGCAATTCATTTAGCTTTTCCTTTAAAAATTGTATGCTATAGCATTTGGTTCATATAGGTTTAGTATTAATATTACTTCATTATCTATGGTACCTTTTATCATGATATAGTTTCCCTGTTTATCTCTTTTAATTAAATCTACTTTAGCTTTAACTTTGTCTGCAATCATTATTATTACCTCTGCTTTTTTTTAAATTGGCTGAAGCATAATAAATTCTACTCCAACCCTTTATTTTTAGTCAATGTGAATCTCTCATTTTTAAATGTTTCTTGAAAACAATATATTGTCAGATTCTAGATTTTAATCCATTCTGCTATCCATTTCTGTTTTATGAATGAGTTCATCCCATTCACATTCAATGTTATAATTATTAGTTGTATATTTCCCTCCACCCTATTTCTATTCAGTCTTCATCTTTCTCTCTTTTTAACCTATCACTCCTCATATGTCTAATTTACTTCTGACCACTGCCTCCCTAATCCACACCCCTTCCAAGAATCCCCTCTCTCCTCTTCCCTTGCCCTCCCATTCCTTAACCTGCCCACCCTTGTAAGAGACCCTCTCTTATCCTCTCCCCTATTCTTCTGTTTCTTGATCTGCACATCCTTTTAATGGTCTTTCCCTTATCCTGTGCCTTCACCCTCCTATTTCTTTTTAAGTTAGGAAGACTTTTATATCTTTCTAGATGTATATGTTATTACCTCTTTAACCCAGTTCTGATGAAAATCGTGTGGTAACATTACCAGCCCTTCACTCCCTCCTGCCCTCTACAATTCTTCCATTCACACCTCATTTGTATGAGATAATTGCTCTATTTTACCTCTCCTAACCCAATTTTATTTTTTAGAATCATCCCATCATACTCAGCTCAACCCCAAGCATTCTGTCTATGACTGTTCTTTCAAACTGCCCTAGTAATGATAACTTTCCTTTTATTTTTTTTCTTTTTTGTGAGGCAGCTGGGGTTAGGTGACTTGCCCAAAGTTACACAGCTAGTGAGTGTTATGTGTCTGAGGCTGGATTTGAACTCTAGTTCTCCTGACTCCAGGGCCAGTGCTCTATCCACTGCACCACTTAGCTGCCCCTAATGATAACATTCTTAAGAGTTACAGATAACAATTTCAGTTTGACCTTGTTAAGTCCCTTATAACTGGCCTTTTGTGTATACCTTCCTATCTTTCTCCTGATTCTTATATGTCAAATTTTCTGTTCAGTTCTGGTCTTTCCTGACAAATACCTGAAAGTCCCTTAATTTGTTAAATACCCTTTCCACTCCCCCCACCCCCCCATGCAGGATTATACTCAGCTTTGCTTTTTGCTAAGTTATTCTTGGTTACAAACTCAGCTCCTTTGCTCTTCATTTTCCATGCCCTTCAGTCTTTTAAAGTAGAAGCTGCTAAATCTTGAGTTATCCTGAATGTGGCTCCATGCATAGGTTTCCAAAGTGGGTGATACTACCCCCTGGGGAGTGCTGAAATAACCTGAGGGAGTAGTAGTAGTTTGAAATGATGCAAATTTGAAAAAAAAAAGTGTTAGAAGGATTAAAGAAAGTGGATTTCCAGGGGGGCACTAAGTAATTTTTTTTGCAAAAGGGAGTGGTAAGCCAAATAATTTTGGGATCCTCTGCTCCGCAGTATTTAAATTGTTTCTTTCTAGTTGCTTGAGGCATTTTCTCCTTGACTTGAGAGCTTTGAAACTAAGTTTCTATGAGTTTTTATCTTGGGATCTCTTTCAGGAGGTGATCAGTGGATTTTTTTCAGTTTCTGTTTCACCCTAGTTTTAAAAATTCAGGGCCATTTTCTATAATAATTTCTTGAAGTATAGTGTCTAGACTCTTTTTTTGATCATAAGTTTTAGATAGTACAACAATTCTTATATTGTCTCTCCTTGATCTGTTCTCCAGATCAATTTTTCTAATGAGATATTTCACATTCTCATATTTTTTTTTCATGCTTTTGATTTTGTTTTATTATTTTTTGGTATCTTATGAAGTCACTAGCTTTCCTTTGCACAATTCTAATTTTTAAGGAGTTACTTTCTTCTGTAAGTCTTTGAATTTTTTTCTGATTGGTTGACTTTCTTTTCATAATTTTCTTGCATTACTCATTTCTTTTTTAAAATTTTTTCTTCAACTTCTCTTTGATTTTTAAATTCCTTTTTAAGCTCTTCCAAGAACTCTTTTTGGGCTTATGATTATTTTATGTTTCTCTTTGAAACAGAAGTAATTGTTCTGATTTCACTGTCTTCTGAGTTTGAACCCAGATCTTCTCTATCACCATAGTAGCTATCTATAGTTGGGTTCTTTCTCTTTTGCTTACTCATTTCCTGACTATTAACTTTGTATTAGAGTTGGGCTCTAGTCCCAAGGAGTGGGGGATAATATTTCAAGCGTCAGGTTTTTCATGCTGTTGTTTTCTGAGCTCTATCCCTGGGACCTGACCTCAAGTGTTCCTGTCTTCCCCTGAGCCACAGCCCTCAGCAATGTTCTCACCACAAACATTCTTACTCTCTGTGGTCCCTCCTGTGACTGCAAGCTTCTGTTCATCCCTCTATCCTGGAACCAAAACCAGGGATTCTGCTTTGCCAAGAGTGCCACAGCCAGCAGGGACCCTGCTCTACCCAGTCTGCACGCACCCATGTGTGCTCACTCCTCTTCACCCAAGTGCACCTGGGCCCCAAGTCCAGCGACAGTGGAGGGCTCCACAGTCTTGCCCTGATCAGCAGTCTGACCTCCACAATGTCCACAGGGCAAAAGTTCCTCAAGCTGAGGCTGCCCTTGATATAGCCAGGGTTTGTTTGTTGATTCTGCAATTCGGTCAGGCCAGACTCCCCCTTCCCTCCACTCCCCAAAGGTCACATCTTTCCCAATGTCCTCCTAGGTTGTTTTAGGCTGGACAATGCTTTATCCCAACTTTTAATTATTTCTGTCTCACTAAATTGAGGCATTATTAAAAAAATTTTTTTGGGGGGGGATTTTCAAGAATCAGGTAATTTCCTGCCTTATTTCACTATCTTCTCAGAATCCTCAGTCTTTTAATATTTTATGTATGCTACCACCCCAGTTAGAGGACATTAGTTTTCTGTTAGCCTTTGCTGTCACCACATGACCAGCCAACCTCCTTTTACAGCCATGTACACCTTTGAGCCACTTTGTAGTAGTAGTGACAATTGCTACTTGTGTGGCTTTGGGCAAGTTTCTTCACCTTCTTCAGCTTCATTTTTTCATCTGTAAAATGAAGTTGGATTACGTCTCTTCTAGCTTTGGCTTTATTATCATGTGATCTTTATACCTCAGGGTCATAGCACAATAGAGGGACAGAAGCTCATCTGACATCTAAAATATAATAGTCACAAAGTAGCAGTGACAAGTATGCCTTTAATCCTAAGTGATTTCTGCCTCAGCCAGGAAGCCTCTTCTGTGTTTCCTTTCAAGGATAGACGCCATTCCCAGGCATGGCCACCCTGGCCTGTGGGTGGGAGCAGATGAGCCCCATCAAGGTAGTTCATCTGGAAGAAGCAGAAGTAGCAAATGTCAGTCTAGATTTAAGAATAATACTGATAGTACTTTATCCTTTAATAGCACTCAGTTTTCCAGCAGCAGGTTTCATGTCCCCAGCACCCCATGGAATATATGGGTTGCTTAGCTGGTATTTACATCTATGATTATACTATAACTATGACTAATGGTTGAACTCTTGCCTGTTTTTTTCAGCATAGCCCTGACATATTGTGTTAATTATCTGACTTACACTTCAACTATTTATTATTTCAAATTCTTACAAGTAAAACACAAGATGATTTATTTCAGGAGACTGAGAACCGGCAACTTATGGAGGACCTTCGAAAGGCTGTTGAACAGGCTGAAAGCTGGGAAGCCAAAGCCCACCAAACCGAGGCAGAGAACAACACTATCAAATTGGAACTTTTAAGTGCAGAGGCAGAGAGTAACAGACTGAAAGAAAAAGTGGACTCGCTCAATAGAGAGGTTGAGCAAGTAAGCTGGGAACGTGTGTCAGCACTTGATCTTGAATTATACCTAAATAGTATTTGCTAAAGCTTCCAACCCTTAAACCACCAGACTGATTCTTTCATTTTTCTCTTGAGGGCAGAAATTAAGTTGTGACAAGGGGACTTTTCCCAGGTGCAGACTATTGTTCTGATAACAGTACTTTAGATTTATGTTGTACTTCATAGTTTTGAAAGTATTTTCACATCCATTTCTGAATTTCATCCTCAGCATTACCGTTAGTCTTTGTAGAAAAAAAAATTTCTGAAAACAACTAAATAAGTATGATTCCTCAGCATTCTTAAACATTTGAAAGCACTTGACTTTTATTTTTAACAACATGCTGAAGTTTTTAACATGCTGTCAAACATTACAACAACAATTGATGGCTACCTAGGTCCTTGATTTTCAAGATTCTGATAGCAAGCACTAGAGAGCTAGCAGCTTCTTTTTCACGGTAATAAGATCAGCATCATTGTGACTGATGTTAAGAACTGGGTGTTATGGATGTGAGAAGGCAATATTTTAAATAATAATAATAATTATGCCACAAAACGCCTGGTCAGGCCTGTGACAGGTAGCCAATATGATCAAGCATATGGTCAGCCTTAGAATTGAAAGCTTTTAAAAGTGCAGGTTTTTGGGGCAGCTAGGTGGCACAGTGGATAAAGCACCGGCCCTGGATTCAGGAAGACCTGAGTTCAAATCCGGCCTCACACACTTGACACTTACTAGCTGTGTGACCCTGGGCAAGTCCCATTGCTTAGCAAAAAAAAAAAAAGTGCATGTTTTTATTTCAAGCCTTCAAAAAAGAACAACCCAAACCCTGACTCCAGAGTTTCTGCAAAAAGCTCAAATATTCTAGTTTACCTTTTTCTGTAATGTTAGCAATGTGATTATCGAGTATTGGTAAAGAAGTTTTGCTGTATTTCATTTCCTAAATGTCAGTTGCTTTTCTATGCTATGTTTCTTTTCTCTGTCTCTCTCTCATTATTTTTTGGATCAAATTGCTATTTCTCTGTAACTAACTTAGTCATCTTGTCCTGCCAGCACTTAAATGCAGAAAGGTTGTACAAGTCTCAGATTTCCACTTTGCACAAATCCCTTTTAAAGATGGAAGAGGAGCTTCAGAAGGTTCAGTTTGAGAAAGTCTCTGCCCTTGCAGATTTGTCTTCCACACGGGAACTCTGTATAAAACTGGACTCTAGCAAAGAACTACTCAGTCGACAGCTTATTGCCAAAGATCAAGAAATAGATATGGTATTTAAGCCAGACATTAAAAAGTTATTTGTTTATATTGCATATGTTCTCTGAAGAATCTAAGGGGCTCTAGCCTTCCTTAGAAAAATGAAATTTCATTTTATAAAGGTTTATGTTTTGCATTCAAACACTGAGATGCCTTTCAACCATAGAACTGTATTTTTAAGGCCCATAAGTTCAGTTTTCTCTGCTGTTTTCCATACAGTTCAAGAATCTGTAAATTCTTTATTAAGATTTCAAATGAAATCTTATTTTAAATTTGTCATTTGAATTTATTTTCATTTAGAGGAATTTAAGGGTACATATGATACATTAACCAGGAGAGAATCTTTAAGTTTGTACAACTGGTATATACTTTTGATTATATGCTGTTATTATAATAAAAATTATACTTTATTTTTAAATGAATAGAAATAATTTTCTTTAAAATTAAATAAATCCCTTTGATATGTGATGAAGAAATAAAGTTTTATCTTTCATAAATCTGGGCTAATGTCTATGAATAGGGAACAGCTATTAGTAAATAACTTAGATGGTTTAAAGCCATTTTTTCAAACTCAGGTCTCTTTAGCTTTAGGAAATATTGCCTTTTAATAAAAGTAATACGTGCTTAAGTTTCTTAAATAAATAAAAATTTCTTGTCCTTTTTTTTTTCTAGCAAAGGCTTGAATAGATGTTTTTATGGAATGGCAATTCTCAGAGAGGCCCAGCATCTTTGTAAAGATGTTAAATGCTTATTCCTTTTTAGAACATTCAGTTCTGGCTAATGAATGTGCTAATAGCTCTTCTCTGTTATACTATGTACATTAACCTAAGTTTAGTCATTAGCTGGGACATTTATGTATCTGAATAAATACAAAAAGAGACATATCCCTACATGAACTAAAATATATAGTTAACAAATGGATAGCACACTGGATAGTAAATCTAAAACTTAGAGGATCTATAAAGCAACAATTCAACTAAATGAAAATGTAACTCCTCTGGTTTTTGTTAGTCCTTTGCTAATTTTTATTTGGAATTTGTGTGGAATTGCAGAATACTGGTATTTTTACCTCTCAGGAACTAAATGTCTAAAAAAATTAATCCACCTAGACAAAGTTTCATAGTTGTATTTTAGGTACTTCTCTCCCTAATATAAAGTTCCTATCATTTATATTATGCATTCAATTGTGTTTTTCTCATGCATTTAAACTTAATAGCATAATTTTTACAAATTCAGTGAAATACTTTTTTTATCTTTAAAGAGAACTAGGGGTGATAGGAAGATGACGAAATATCTCTCTAGCCGTGATTTTATCATTTAAATGCAAAAGAAAACATATTGATATATAACTTAGGCAGACATATCAAATTATTTTAATATCAATATAGTTAGAGATTCCTGATCCCTTTGTGGTTTCAGTTTGCTGTTTTTAAAATAAATATGCTAAATCTCCTTTTTTTCTCCCTTTTATTTTCAGTCCCACAGGGCGGCTAGGGATCATGCATATCCTCCTCAGAATATTTTCTCAGGATAGAACTACTTCAGTTTTGTAAAGATATAATAATAAATACAAAATTACAGAGGGATATTAAAACTGGAAGTGGGACTAGATTTCCAACTTCTGGTCAATGATTCTCTGTTTAAAAGAGAGGAATTTGTTTTGGAAATTTTATTTAGAGGAATAGCAAAGGATGTTTTTAAAAGTTCCTTAATTCCTAGTTGGGGCAAGGTAAAGTTTGTTTAGAAATTTTATTAGAAAAGTTTTAGAGAATACCTTAATTTGTAATTGATGGCAGTGGATTTTATGTAGTATATATCTTAGTTTATGACAGATCTTAGAACCTAGCAACATTTTTAAAAAAAAGGAAACAGTGTGCCATGTTTTGGCCACAGTTCAGATAGCTGGCTTAAGAAAACACTTAGAAGAGAACCCATCATAAATATATATAGAATTAAGAATGTGAAAGACTGAATTACTACAGTCCCACAGGGCCTCTAGGGACCATGTATATCCTCCTTAAATTATTTTCCCAGGGTAGAACTACTTCAATTTTGTAGAGGTATAATAATAAATACAAAATTAAAGAGGAATATTAAAACTGGAAGTGGGACTAGATTTCCAACTTCTGGTTAATGATTCTCTGTTTAAGTTAGTAATAACTCTGGTTTGATCAGGGAATTGGGAAAGGGATTTTTTTTTCCATTCTTCAGTTCTTCAGAGTCTGATGTGCCCTGCAAATATAGAAGGGGAGAAGTAGGCCATATATTGAAATAGAGGAACAAGAAGCAGTGGTGAGTGTACACATGATGCTAAAAGTGTGCTCAGATAGCATATCACTTAAATAGATGGGAGTAAGTTTAAATATCTTCCTATTATTGTACAGGTGGAGAATGAGTTAGATTCTGCTCGAAATGAAATAGAACTTCTTAGGAACCAGATGGCGAATGATAGAATCTCCATGCAGAATCTAGAAGCTTTGCTGGTAGCCAATCGGGACAAAGAGTACCAGACTCAAGTGGCACTTCAAGAAAAGGAATCTGAAATCCAGCTTCTAAAAGAGCACCTTTGTTTGGCTGAAAATAAAATGTGAGTCAGCCTGGAATATCTTAACATAACTACCTCTTCTGATTATCAAAATTCTTGAAAAAGTATGCAGTCATAGAATTTTGGAGCCAGAAGGATCTTCAGGCTAAACTAGTCCAGCTCCTTCATTTTACAGATGGAGAAACTAAGGGACACATACCCTTTATACAGCTGTTTGACCAAAACCATTTTTCACATGAGTTCATAGAACTGTTAGAAACAAGCATTTTCAGATCGGAAGATTTTTAATATGTGTGGACCTGTCACTGTCATTTTGTCTTTCCATTTGTATACACAGAAGCACCTGTTATTTCTTTGGGCTGCCAGAAGAATTTTAGTGTTCATTATATATATATATATATATATATATATATATATATATATATATATATATATGTAATATATATATGTATATATATGTATATATATGTATATACGTATATATATATGTATATATATATGTATATATATGTATATATATGTATATATATATGTATATATATGTATATATATATGTATATATATATGTATATATATGTATATATATGTATATGTATTCATATATATATGTATATATATGTATATGTATATATATATGTATATATATATGTATATATATATATGTATATACATATATATGTATATATATATGTATATATATGTATATGTATATATATGTGTATATATGTATATATATGTATATATATGTATATATATATGTATATGTATATATATATATATATATATGTATGTATGTATGTATGTATGTATAAGCTGCTTGGCACAGTGCAGAGTCCCTGGTTTTCCCTCATCCCCCCAAAACCAAAAATGTTTTATCTACATAGCTGAAGGTAGCATCATGATCATTCTTCACAAGACCCTACTCTTAGTCCGCAAATTCTTTATTCAGCCTCAATACTGGCCCTCTGTTTTCTGCTCACCCTACATCAGCTTTAGATATGGATAGAAGTATGGAATGGCATGGGAGCACTTGGCAAGGCATAGGATTATAGGGTCAGTGACAATATAATTTTAATGACTGTTTTCAGGCTATTTTAGTATCCTGAGGACCTGGCAGCCATGACTTACAGCCCTGACATTCATGTTAGTTCATTTTCTTATTTTGATGTCTTCATTGTCAGCTAACAAATGACAGCTGACAGATGGAGATCTACCACATTAAGAACGTAGGAATACTCCCAATTTCAGCTAACCATGTCTATTTTGATATGCAGGTGCATCCTATTGATAGAACAATTGATAGAATGACTAAAGATAATAATTTTTTTATTTCCCTAAGAGGTCTAAGTTTCAGCAGTTTGTGTTACATAATTGAGAGTACAAAGGAGAGAGGCTAAAATACAGTTTTTGTTTAACAAGTATTTATTAAGTACTTAATATGTGCCAGGCACTATGCTTAGCTTTACAGATGTTATCTCATTTTATCCTTATAACAACCCTGGAAGGTAGGTGCTATTATCCCCATTTTCCAGATAAGGAAACTGAGGCAGGCAGTGGTTAAGCAACTTACCCAGGCTCACACAGCTAGTAAGTGTCTGAAATCAGATTTGAAATTGTCTTCCTCACTCCAAGTCCAGTGCTCTCTATCCATTGTACGGTGGAGAATGAGTTAGATTCTGCTGCCTACTAGTTTGTACTAGCATCCATGTTCTCCTCCTGAAATGTGGAGCCCAGGCCTTGGGATTTAGTCTTATAACCAGGACAGTAACTTTATGTATATGTGATGTGTGTGTGTGTGTGTATCTATATCTATATCTATATCTATATCTATATCTATATATGTGTATATATATATGTGTATATATTTGTATATATGTATATATATGCACACACACATACATATATATGTTTATATATGTACATTCATCTATGTACATATTTGTAATGAGATACTTAAGAATTCACTTAAATTAATAATAATTAGTTTTTAAAATTTTATTTCACACTTTTAGGCATCAGTAAAAACATCCAAATATACTTCTTTCATTCAGCAACATTCATTAAGTGCCTGTTTATGTAAGACACTGGAGATAAAAAGAAAAAAAAACAAAACAGCCCTCTTAAGGAGCTTATCTTCTCCTAGGAGTCAAGAACGTGTATGCAGATAAGTAAATATGAAGTAGTTTCAAGATGGAGAAAGTACAAGTAGCTGAGGGAGATCAGGAAAGACAGACCTCTGTAGAAGGTGGCCCCTGAGCTCTGAAGAAAGCTAGAGATTCTCCAAGGGCTCCATCTGTCAAACAGAGTGGACCACAGACCAACCACTTATGCCAAGACACAGAAGCTGAACATGAAATGTCATAGAGAAGGGCAGTTACAACGTTAGTTGCGTGAAGGGAAAGAATATGAAATAAGACTAATAAGTCAGTGGAAGCCATACTGTCAAGACCTTTTAATATCAGGACAAGGGTTTAGTATTTTTCTCCCAAAGGCACAGTAGTACAGTGGAAAAAGCCCAGGCTCTGAAGCCAGAGGACCAAGGGTCAAATCCCACCTCTCCCATGACTTAGGTGACCTTGGGACATTCACTCACATGACTTCTTTGGGCTGGAGTGTTCTTGTCTTTAAAAAAGGAACTTGGACAAAATGACCTCTGAGATTCATTTCAGCTATATTATCTAAAGTATCTTAACAGAGTTGTGGTATGATCAAATCTGTGTCTTAAGAATATCAGTTTGGCATTTGTATCTAGGATTTGTGTGTAGGACCTGAGAGGACAGAGAGTAGAAGCAGGATGGGCATTTAGGATCCTGTTGCAATAGTCTAGGTGAAAGGTGTTCAACTTAGTTTAATGGCCTGAACTAAGATAGAATCTTCAAGAAGAGAAAAAGCAGATGAATGCAGAAAAAGTGTGATGGTAGAGTCCACAAGACTTAGGACCTGAGTTGGGGGAGGGAGAAGGAGGCTGAAGGTTGTGAACCTAAATGACCAGACAGTTAATTGTGCCCTCAACAGAAATGGAACTTTAGAAGAATGATAGGTTTGATGATAAAGATAATTCTAGATATACTGAATTTGAGATGCCTATGAGACAGCTAAATGAAGATGTTCATCAGGGCAGTTAGAGGTATGGAACTGGAGTTGAGAAGAAAGATTAGATGAAGGCTAGATATGAGATATGAAAGTCATAATGAACCCACAGAAACTGATGAATTCTTCAAAGGAGAGTAAAATTTAAATAAATGAAAGTGTATCCCCTATTCAAGTACATTTAAATATTTAAAAGTAGCTAAGCTATATTTTACAATCATGACTTTCACTGGTGAATGTGATAAACCTACTAGGAGTTTGTATTAGTAGCATATTAAGTGTCGGGTAAATTAGGGTTAATAATAATAATACCATCTTGCATTTATGTAATGGTTTTACTTTCAATGTGGTATTTGTAGTTATTACTCGAGATAGATGGTACAAGTGGTATTATCCACATTTTCCTGATGAAAAACTTGAGGCATAAAGAAATTGTCATTATTGGACCTAGGATTGGACTCCAGATCTCTCAGCTAGACCATTTTTCTATGTCATATAGTCTATATTTTAAAAGTGTGTGTCAGGGCAGCTAGGTGGCACAGTGGATAGAGCACTGGCTCTGAAGGCAGGAGGACCTGAGTTCAAATCCGGCCTCAGACCAAACACCTGACACTAGCTGTGTGACCCTGGGCAAGTCACTTAACCCCAATTGCCTAAAAAAAAGTGTGTGTGTGTGTGTGTGTGTGTGTGTGTGTGTGTGTGTGTGTGTGTGTGTGTATACACACCATACCACATAAAACAGGCATGTGGAGAGAGAATGAGTCATTTTAGTCTGGATATAATTGGAAGATCATTAACAAGGAGTTAGCAGTATTTTTAGCTCCATCATATCTCCTTATCTTTTTTCCACAGGGCCATTCAAAGTCGAGATGTTGCCCAGTTCAGAAATGTAGTAACACAACTGGAAGCTGATCTAGATATTACGAAAAGACAGCTAGGGACAGAGCGCTTTGAAAGGTAAGTTGACAACTATGCATTGTTCATCCTTCAAAATATTTTTATTGTAGAAACAATGGAGTTAGAGAAATTCAAGATGAGCAAATCTTAATATATGATCTGAGTTACAATTTGTCATGGAGCTAGTAATCCCATTGTATATAAAATGTTAAAATATCACAATTATCTCTTAGAGAGCGGGCTGTACAAGAACTTCGTCGCCAGAATTATACTTCTTCCAATTATTATCACATGAGCTCTACAATAAAACCAACACCTAGGTGTCATTCACCTGACCGTGCTCTTCATCGATCCCCTGATCGAGGCCTAGACAGATCACTGGAAGAGTAAGTGGTTCAAGGATCCATTCTTGTGGAAAAACACATGGAGATGTACACTGAACATTTGGGGGAGGTAGGAAACCCAAGAAACAGCATATTATTGCTAATGATTTTTAAAATTATATCATGATTGCAGGGCTATATTTATGTAGAAACCAAAAATGTACTGATAATTACAATGTATGTCTCAAGATATTGAAGCGAATAAAATGCTTTGTGGTATCTAATTTTGCCATAAATGTTTTTTTATTTGTTAAAGCACTGATTGATTTGTGTGTGTATGTGTATATATACATATACACATGTATCTGTACTTGTTTTTATGTATCTGTTACTCTTTAACTTATTTTCATTATACATTGCCAGCTAATTATTTCAGTGTCATTGAATATGGAAACATGTACATATCACCCTAGTTACATAATAGGACAAATAGTCAAGGGGAAATACTTTTTGAATATCTTTAAGAACAGGAACCATGTACAGAATGGACTTCTGAGAAGAATTCATACCAAGTGAATGACCATTTATTTGATTTGCAAGTTATTTTTCCTGTCTTTAACTGCAAATCCCTGTTACAGACTTTCTCTTCCCTTTGAAAACCTAAAAGAGATCCAGAAGCTTTTCCTATGATTATGCTCCTGAGAAAAATGTTGTCCTAGACCAACTTTTCTAAGTTGACAGAGCTCTGGAGCAATCGAAAAGATAAGTAAAAAATGTTGTATTGACATAGTCTAATATGAAAAAAATAGTTCAGGTTTGTGCTGAATGATCTCATCTTTCAATAAAGTAAGCACATTTTAAAACCAATACAGGTTTCCAGTGCCCAGACTGAGCTGTAAGAGGCTTCAATATCATCTCATCTAGCCCCTCAATTTTACAGAGGAAGAAATGGAAATCAGTATATTTAGTGTCTACCCTGGTTGTTTGTTTTAGGTTTTTTATTTTGTTAGTGATAATTCCCTAGTCACAATCTAGAATTTTAATATTTGATTTTTAGGTTGGATTTGTGTTTCATAGTAGTGCATTAAATCAAATGACAGGGAATTCCCAGGATATTTTTCTCCTCACTTGTAACCAAACATCTTGAGATAATCAGAGGGCATATGCAGTCATAAAGACATATATATTTTTAAAGCCTAAACAGTTTTGTCAAATCTAGGGCAGACCTTACATTTGATTATTGAAAATTTGTTAGATGGCTATGTGTTTAATTAACATGTTTTTGAAAAGAAATAATGTTACAATGAAGCACATATAATGCTTTTATTTTTAAAAAAAGTTACAGAAAATAAGTATATGCCAAGAACCGAAAAGAGAGTGAGACCTAAGGAATATTATCGCTTTCCATTATTCCATTTTAATATTTATTCATATAAACTCTGAATATTCTTGACTAACTGTATATTTAATTCTTTTAGTTTTGTAACATGGTTTACCTTAGGAAACAATGAAGGTGGCAAAAGGAGGGTAAAAACAGCAGAGTTTGTACAGATTTAGTAAACAAGTGAAAAAGCTTGCAATTTTGTTAAAAAGTTTCCCTTATCCATTTATTGTAGTGAAGAACTCAATATTATCAGCTAAATCTTAAATCTTCTAACTTCTACATTCTCCTCAAGCATTTTGTTAGCATTTTACAAGCAATTACTAGCAAAAATAACAAGATTGTGGATTATTTTATTCCTGAGTTTTGAGAAGTTGGAAAATTTTTAGATCTTGCATATACTAACCCAGGAATACATTTTCATATGGTTAAAATATATACATATATATTTGAGTTTTAAAATTTTAAATTAGTATTTTTTTTCTTTTATAGGAATCTGTCCTTTAGAGATTTTTGACACATGAAGGTTCTTCACCCTCTGGAAAGCAAGGGTTAAAAACTGGACTCAAGTTTATGCTGTATAATTGATTTTATCTTTTGAATGCTTGACAATGTTAAATGTATTTATTGACCTCAAGAGAACAAACTCTGAATCAGCCATGGTGTTCTGTTTCATACAGCTAATCTCTGTTGTTATTATGCCATATTGCAGTGACTCAACTTGACATTCTGAAGGAAAAATGCATATGGCTGTGTCAATCCACACATTAATAGTGAGTGTAAAGAAAAAGATTTGCCTACTCCACTATTGAAGGCTGTGGAATAACATTTGTTCCTCGAGAGAAAATAAAGAAACTTATACAAAGAGGGAAAAGTGTTTTACAAAACTGATTTCTTTTCCTTTTTTTAGTATCTAATGTGGTTGGTTAAATTTTATCTCTGTGATTTGTGCTTTCACGTCTAAAGAAATTGTGCCAAAATTGGCAAACTTTTTTTTATTTGATCAATACTGGTCTGGGACCCAGTATTTCTCTCCATTTTGTAACCAACTTGATAAAGTCCATATCATCTGATTTCAAAGAAGCAGAAAGTACAAGTGTGTCAGTGATGTTCAGTATATACTGTTGTACAATTCAAAGACCTAATTAACAAACATTTTCTACAATTGTGTTTACTTCCACTATTTTTAGAAAGGTAGGTGATGATATATCTGTAAAGAATGTAAGATAACAGTCTGTATTTTTAATAAGTTTTCTTAAAAAAATTAAAGTACTGTAATCAAATTTTTTGCCTGTGACAGATTTCTGTAGTCTGCATAACTGAAGTACAGTGACAAATTTCAGATTTTTCTGAAACCTTCCCAGTTATTATATTCTTAATCTATTGATAGGCTTCAATTTAATATGAATTTGAATGCCTGAACACTTTTTTTTTCTTATCACTCTTAGCCAATTATATCCTACTCCTTTCACAAAAAAGAAAAAAATACCCAAATCTGTTTGATTGAAACTGGACATTTAACATAAATAATTTTCCCATTTATGTTATTGTTGGCCATTATGACCACAGTGACATAAATCAGGCTGTTTCAGAGAATGTCTTTTCAAGCGGTTTAGAATTCAGATAATTTTCTCTGGACTCATGCTGTACAATCATTTAGTATTTTAAATAAGAAAAACAGACTCAAATTCACTGGTCTAATATGGTTATGTTAGATCAACAATATTAAATTGATAGTTATAAAATTGCAATAAAAATGAATCTTTAAAGATATTTTTATAAGCATTTTGGGAAATCTTGTTCAAAAAACTTTTCTCACTAACAAGCAATATTATGTTTATGCAAAATAACTCTTTTCAGGGTATCAGAGAGGCCTAACCATAGATCTTTATGACTGTGGTGGAAGGAGATTAATTCTTGGTCTTATCCTAGAGGAACTGATAAAGAACTGAATGTAATAGATATTATATGCTTAGCAGAAGGAATCGTTGACATGAGGGGAGTTGAACTGATAAACTATGATGTTTAAAAAAAACCCCATCATTAACTTGTATAATCAACAATGAGATTAAACAAGAAGAATATTCTGCACATATACAGGCTTAAATTATTTAAAGAGGACAAGGGGCGAAACCTCAGTCCAAATCTGAGAATATCATAAGGAGAAATCTCATCAGAGTAGAACATCTGTTCCTTTAGGAGAGAAAACAGCTTCATAATATTAACTAACACCATGGAGTCTTTTCTTATTTAAGACATCTAAGTATTAGTGTACAAGTTTATTGTTCACTTGTTCGTTATTACAAGAGAGAGAAAGATACCACCTTTGGCTGGTGTCCATGGTGCTTCATATATGTCGGTATGGTTATGTATATATGTATATGTGTGTGTATGTATGGTTGTTGTTGTGTCATTTCAGTTGTGTCCAACTCTTCATGACTCCATTTGGGGTTTTCTTGGCAAAGATACTGGAGTGGTTTGCCATTTCCTTCTCCAGCTCATTTTACAGTTGAAGAACTGAGGCCAATAGGGTGAAGTGACTTTCCCACAGTAACCCAGTAAGTGTCTGAGGCCAGATCTGAACTCAGGAAGTGAGTTTTGCTGACTCCAGTACTGGCATTCTATCCACTGCACCACCTAGCTACCCGTGTGTGTGTAGACATATCTACACATATGCATTTATAAACATACACATTAAGAGAAATAGGATATGTTCTCCTACACAGTATATATTCTGTGATGAATATTTTTATTGACTAAATAATAATATTTATATTTTACACAACACTTTATGTGTTATCTCATTTGGTCCTCACAATAGTTCTGTGAGATAAGTGCTATTATTATCCCCATTTTACAGGTGATTAAATGGAGGCTTATAGATATTAAGTGACTTGCCCAGGGTAATACAGTAAGTGTCTGAGTCAGGGTTTGAACTTGACTCTTTCTGACTCCAAGTCCAGTGCTATATCTATACAAAGTATAGATGACAAAGTCGCTTAGCTGCCTAGAATATTCTGCTTGCTTTTCAAAAAAATCCGATAGGTCACATACATATTATTAGGAAATTCAAATTTAGGCAGTTCTTAATTTTAATCTTAATGCAAAACAAACTACATGAGATAGCAGAATGGTGGAAAATGGACCTTCTAAAAAATTACTCTATTGCTTGCAGTTACTGGATTTATACCACAAGATGGCACTTAGTGTGTGGATAAGGCAAACCAGTAAAGCTTACTAGGTTAGCTGTTCTCAAAGACCAGCAGAAATGGACATGAAATGAATTAGAATGAAACATGAGTAGGTTTTTTAGTACTGTCAGATGCCTTTAAAAGGCAAAAAGGTCTAATTAGCAAAATTCACAGCACTTAAACTGTTCTGAAAATTGTTTACTCTGTCTTTGATCCAGAAGTTTCATCATGGAAAGACTTGGGAATTATAATTTAAGAGCAACAGATTTGGAATGTCACACCTGTGAAAGACTATTTGAAACAAAACTGATCTTGATATTTTTATAGAGAAAATTTAACAAATCTATAAAATAAATAAATAAATATTATCATAATGTATTATATGAAATGCTTAACATCCTCCCTTGGAGTTCCAGTATCAGTTGTTCAGAGTCTGGTCTTTTCAATTTCAAGTGAGAATTGGTTCTAGCCCCCAATAACACATTTTCTGTTCCATAAGTAGTAGAACTATTGTGACCTTTTTGAAGCTGCCCAAGGATAGTCTTTCAAAGGGGAATATCTCAGTTGTTTTTGCCTTTGTGGTAGCAATATTAGAAATTTCAACTTTCTATATTGTATTTCAGCAATTATAGACAACCAAGGCAATATAATTTTTCAGCTAATGGAGTATTCTGATTGGAAGAGGTCTACATGGTGGAAAATTTACTATATCAGAAGTGAAAATATTGAAGATAGAAAGGAAAATTCCATCAGAGAGGTCAATAAAAGAGTATTGGCCATAATCATTACATCTGTTTCAAGCTAAAAGAAGAAAAATAATGACAATGGAAGTCATTGAATTTATTGTAGATTGTGAATCCAAACATTTGGATGTGAAAATGAATTCCTTGTCCAATGCTGGTTATTATGGTTTAGAAACTCTTTGAAAATACTTAGAATATTAATCCAGGTATTAAAAATGTATATTTGTTAAATTCTTTTTTTGTTTTTAAAGCTCTACTGTTTATCTTTTTCCTGCTTCACTGCTCATGATCCCATGTTTTCCTGTACTGTGGCTGCTTTAGATAGTATCCTGTTTTGGAGCTTTGGTAGTATGACATTTTTCACTTTTAAAAAGAATCTCTTGCTCAGTTGGAAACACTATTATACATATATATGTATATGTGTGTATATATACATATATACATGCATATATATATATAATCACCTTATTTACTGTCTCAGTGTGGGAGAATGACAACTATTAAACTAAATAAATATTCTTTAGATTTTAAGGGTTTTAAGTTAGTTCTTGAATAGCTATTACAGAAAATATTTAGAGATTTAAAATAGTCAAATTGAGAGCTATGAAGATTTTCCTGTAGCTATGATGTTCATTGCCTTGGACTTTATTTTGAAAAAAGGGTACCATGGATGTTTAAACCACCTACTTTTATTAATTTTTATTAAATTTTTTGGTGGCTTTTTGTTTAAACATACATGTTAATTTTTTAAATCATTTTAAGATTTTTGAGTTTTCATATTATAGTTTATTTTCTCATTTTAAAATAAAATTACAATGTAATCTGTTTAGGTTTTCTTTCAGGAAACAATGTCTACTTAGTGTACTTTTTGGAAATGGTGTTTTTCCTTCTGGATATTTTTGCCTAATTTCAATGACATTGAATAATTTTTTATAGATCTAGAAATTTTATGCTTTAGTATGGCATTTTCCTGCTATAATTTTTTGTTTCTTTATGAATTTACTTTAAAATCCACTAATTTATAATAAGTGTGAATGTGTAATTAATTATTATAATTTTTCATTTGTATTTTTAAAAAAATTTATTTTTAGTTTTCCACATTCACTTTTATATAAGTTCTAAATCCCTCCCCCCCCCGCAAGATGGCATGCAATCTGATATAGGCTATACATGTACAATCATATTAAACCTATTTCCACATTAGCCATGTTGTGAAAGAAGAATCAGAACAAAATGGAAAAATGATGAGAGAGAGGGAAAAAAAAGAGAAAATAGTATGCTTTAATCTGCATTCAGACTCCATCGTTCTTTCTTTGGTTGTGGATAGCATTTCCCATCATGGGTCTTAAATTGTTACATTGCTGTGAAGAGCTAAGTCTATCAAAGTTGGTCATCGCACAATGTTGCTGTTACTGGGTACAGTGTTCTTCTGGTTCTGCTCACTTCACTCAGCATCAGTTCATGTAAGTCTTTCAAGGTTTTTCTGAAATTTATCAGCTCATCATTTCTTATGGAACAATAGTATTCAATTATACTTATACCATATACCACAACTTGTTTAGCCATTCCCCAACTGATGGGCATCCCCTCAATTTCTAATTCTTTGCTACCACAGAAAAAGCTGCTATAAATATTTTTGTACATGTGGGTCCTTTTCCCTTTTTTATATGATCTCTTTGGGATATAGACATCCATACAGATATAGTAGTGGTATTGCTAGATCAAAGGGTATGCAAAGTTTTATAGCCCTTTGGGCAGAGTTCCAAATTGCTTTCCAGAATGGTTGGATTGGTTCACAGCTCCATCAACAATGCATTAGTGTTCCAATTTTCCCACATCTTCTCCAACATCTATAATTTTCCTGTTTTGTCATTTTAGCTAACATGATAGGTATAATATGGTGTACCTCAGAATTGTTTTAATTTGCACTTCTCTAATCAATTCTTTATTTGTATATTGATAATTAATTTTACTTATAAGTGATTTATAAAAAGAATTAAATGGTTTTTATTTTATATTGAGAAAATATTTTTGTTAAGTGAATAAAATACCTCAAATAGATGCATAGTATTTATTTTTTTTTTTTTTTGGTTAGGCAGTAGAGTTAAGTGACTTGTTCAGGGCCACACAGTAAGTGTCAAGTGTCTGAGGCCAGATTTGAACTCAGGTCCTCCCGACTCCAGGGCCAGTGCTCTATCCACTGCGCTACCTAGCTGCCCTCCACAGTATTTATCTTTATGGTTGTTTTCAGATGTGCATTATTTTATATTATTTATATTAGGATTCCAGGGTTCCAG